TAGAACATAAATTCCATATTATTTTTCAAGTTTTCCTTTGTTCAAAATTTCTTCAATAAATGTTTTTGAGCTAAAATATGTTTACAAAATCGTTCAAAAAATAATTAGCATTTATTCTTAAGTTCTGCAACGCAAAAGTTTACTGATATATTACAGCACTTGTCAGTGGCTGCAGAACTTAGAAACTACAAAAGATTAAGAAAGGAAAGAAGATAGTGAAATATTGATTCATAATATTAATGAGTTATACTTGCGATTGATTTCGCTAGTAGAGCCATCATCTAAAAACATTTGGAATTCGCCAACAAATCAGAAAAAAAATCGGAAACATGTTCCAATTTCAGAAAAATGTCTGACTTTTTAGAAGACCTGGCAACTCTGATTTTAACGGTAAGTTTGGGTGAACATGAATCCGATTTTATTGAGAAAACACTAACCACGTGAAAGTAGAGAAGAGAAACAAGAGTACAGATCAAGAGAATGCACACGAACATATATATGTATAGATATATATATACATATAGAGTGACACTGTACAGATACATATTTGAAGAATCCTTAACACTACCGTATACATGTTTGTTTTTACGTTATTAGTACTTTGTTGGGTGAAAAAACTTTTGGCCTATCAATAAAAACCTTGCCCATCTCGTCCATTGGCTTTTTTCGACATAAGAGAGTTTGCCTATTGGTCTAAAAATTCTGGTTACGCCGCTATTGGAGTTAGGTTAGGTAGTACGATTTATTTTATTATGAAAGTATATATGGTGTGTGTGTGAGTGAAGACAAAAGCCTCATCCATATCCACACTTCATATCAATTATATCCTTTTCTGTCATTTGCATAATTGTGAACTAGTTAATATTTTTATTTTAGAAATCAAAGAAAAATCAGAACAATTATCTTATATCACCTGTTACCAATGCTAATATTCAAATCCGTGTGCTGGAATTATTGTCGTTGGATTTACATCCGTAAACAATATTTATAAGGCGCTTTTTATTTCGATACAAAGTTTAGGTGAGTGATATCTTTTATGATCATGCTATATTGTTGTGACTCATGTATTCTAAGTCTATGCAAAAATTATTGAGTAAAGATCACTGTAAACAGAATCGACAAAGTATCAGTGAGTTAAAAAAAAGTAATGATCCTCGAAGAGACAGGATATTAGAAGTCAAGAGGATCGTCGAAGATGTCTCGAGTTTATTGACACTACTAGAATATTATATTGCATATTTTTCTAGTACATGTATTACTAAGCGTGAAATCAGAACTAAAAAAAACTTTTTCTAGTCAAGATCGGGATAATAAACGATTGATCCCGCTCGTCGGTACTCATTACACTTGGAAATTTAATAAGCTTCATAAAAAAAGAAAAATTTCTTTCTTCTAATCATTTGAAACCAATCGAGAATGATTAAATAGTTTATCATTAATTTTCCTCTTTTTTATAAATATATATAATGTTCGAATTATAGCAAATAAAAAATAGAAAATATGCATACACATAAGAATTGACCATAATCATTCAGAACAAAACAAAAAAAAAAGAACATATTTTCTATGTGTCAGAAGATCAAATATACTTATTATCTGATACATAAGAGATTTTCTTTCTTTGCTCTTTTTTGGTAAGTAAAGATAATAGATGCAAAAAAAGAGATTACTATTTGTCAATTATTATTTTTCTTTTCGCTTTATATAGATATTGTCCATGGAATAAAAATAAAAATAAATAAATGAAATAAAGAAAAACAAATTATTTTAATGATGTTTTTATTTCTTCCATGAGATTAGAAATAAATAAATAAAAATTATTTAGTTTGATTTTTAATAAAAATCTTAAAATAGACATACTATTGATTTAAATAAAAGAGCTATTAGTTGTCCAAGTATTCTTTCAGCATATAAAGATGCAGCTGAATTAATTTTTTCGACAACTAAATTAAGAATTTGGACATAAAAAAAAATTTCAATTTTGTTCTCTAACCAGTTAATCAATAAGATTGACAAATTTTATTAATTATCGATAGAAAATCTTGATTAGATGATGGAATACGAAGTTGTGATTGACATGTCAATGTATCCGAACTCATCAAATCAACGAATATCATACTTTAAAAAAAAATATATTCATGTTAAATAACCTAATAAAAAAAACTTATTCTTGCGAATCAATAGTCTTTCATCGTAAATATCGTGAACAAGGTAAATTAAGTTTAAATTCAATTCGATCTGTTTCAATCATATTTAATTTCTAAATATATTTGTCAAAAATGAAGATAACAAGTATTTTTTTTTATTTGTTCAACATACATTTATAGAATAAGTTGATGTTGTTTTTAAGTTTTGAGAAAATGACATAGCATTTATTGAAAAAAATAAATATGAATATAATTTTGTGAATGAGGAAAAAGACTTATAGATGGAAATGATATTAAATTTGCACTTGTTGTATTTAATAATTTCGAATTCATACTATAAATAACATAAATATTAATATGATCAATAATACATGATGTTCGATTTTCTCAAAGAAATATTACATCAACGTGAGCTATTAATGGATCTGGATTAATCAAATATTCCTAAAAATTAATTTATAACAGATTGTTTAAATACATATTCAAATGATTTCAATGGTAAAAAAAGTAATATCTCCAACGTTGGTGTGAGTTAGGGATGGACAAAGTTGACTTTTTTTTGGGATTGGAATCTGAATGGATCTTTTTTGTTTGCATAATAGTCATTTTAGTGAATTTCTCTTCAGATCATCTTCAAAATCAAGTTCTTGATAGGATTAATTCATTGTGTAAGTGTAGAAACTTCCGAATATCTTCTATCCTGAGACATCAATATTGAAAATTCTGTTACGAAGAAAAGCGAACTCCATCTTTTCATATCTCAAAAGTAAATTTTTTAAAGGTGATCAGACGAAGATTTTCTCTAATCTCAATAGAGTCTACCACCTAATGAAATAAGATTCATGTCAAAAGCATTTTATCACTTAGCGAAGTTTCCTCATCTATTGTTAAACTAGAATAATTATTGAGTTTACAATTGTCAAATTGTCAGATTGAGCAACTGGTTTATAAGTATCTTGTTCATTGTATTGTTGCTCAGATTGATTTGTTGAATGAATATCATCCGTCATAATGTCCAATAGGAGTGACACAGAAGTATTTGTATATACTATTGTTATTGTTTCTGACGATGATTTTTTTACTTTGGTTTTCTCTGCAGTAGTAGTAGGAGGAGGAGAAGGTGTAGAAGAAGTTGGACGATTTTCTTCTTCGTCAGCTGGTGATAATAATTCTTTATCATCAGTATGTTCTCGTTTGTGTTTAGATTTCGATGTTGATGATTGTTCTTGTTTTTCAATTATTTTCTTTTTCTTAGATTTTTTGTTTTGGCTTCTCAATTAATATAGGAGGTGTTTTAACTTGTTTAGGAACCGATTCTTTTAATTGAGATGTCAATGGTGATGGTGTAGGAATCGACTGAATAGATTTTTCATTTAAGTCAATATTAAGTGCTCGATATGGACCATATTTTTTATTTTTTTCAACACGCACATCATTATCATTATCTTTATTTTCACTTTCTGTAGCATTTTCTGTTAATTCACCACCATGTGTTACTTTAACAGTTGAATAAATATCATCATCATTATCATGAATTACTTTTGCATCAGTTTTCGATTTTTTTCTTTAAACATCGATTTTCTTCATCAATTTTTACTTGACGATATAATTGATCAGATAGTGTTAATTGTAAACTAGTAGCATTTGTTCCTTGTGATAATGTTAATTCAATACAATCATTACCATTTATAATATCCGAAGTTGTTTCAGTCTATAATACTGAAGATAAATTCAAGGATTGAACTTGACTATTTGCATTCTATAGAATCAAATGAGCTAAGAATATCCTGAAGATAGTTCAAGTCTGTAGCTTATTGATGTCGAGATATTGCACTTTTACCGTAGTTTTTAAATGAATGTCGTAGTTAGAGCCTGTCGGATTAGTTTCGGATCCGAAAACTTTGAATTCGATGGGTTCTAGCCATGGTGCCTCACAGAAATATCATGAAAACTAATTCTCGAATTTTGACTTGGAACTCTCCATACAGACAGACCTTAACGAGACTAGTTTCTTGTAAATGTTTCAGATCTCGCCATTGCTCCTGTCTTAAGATAAAGCTATGATAAAAACTTGTTCTTTATATCTGATGACAAATTCGACGTTCTTATGTCAACATAGACGGTAATCAAAAGATTTGAAACGTTCATAATAAATCACTAACACTAAAAACTTATTTATGTCAATTTTGGTTTTGTTTTTGAATCTTTTAAATAGAATGAATTCATTTGTTCACTTTGTTTTTTTGATTCTCGTTGTTTTTCTAATTCTTCAGCAGTTGATTCAATATATTTTTTCGATTTTTGATAACTTAATGTATCACCAGAGTATGAATTAGAATTATAATTTTCTCCATTATCATCATAAAATAAACCTTTATTATCATAATATGAACTTGTTGTTATCGATTCATCTTCACTGTCTGATTGAGGATCATTTATCCAACCATCCAAATCCAAAAACTTTGAGTTTTAGCAGCAATTGGATTAAGAACATCATCAAATAATACTGATAATTCATTAACATTAAATTCAGATTTTTCAATTAATTATAATGTTGTTTTAAGAATATGTTAAATAACACTTGGCCTAAATAAATAATTTCTTTTTTTTTTATATTTGATATTTTAAAATAAAAAGAAAAAATGGCCTATTCGTTCTTGTGCTTCGACATCACCACTTGATAAAAATAGAGACATTTTATCAATCGTTAATGAAAGAAGTTGTTGAATTAATGTTTCATCATTATTCGATGATTGAATTAAATATATTATAATTTATAAAATATTTTGATTTTTTAATGACTATAGAGAAAAGAAAAACAAGAATTCTTTCAATTAATTTTGTTTTTCGTTATTGACTTACGAACAAAATCCACTACATATCCATGCAGCAGCATATAAATCTTCGGAGACAGTTGTAGAATTTGAATCATGAATAAAAACATAATCATTTTCAAGAAGAATTGCCTGAAAGAATAGAAATAAAAAAATTTTTTCGTGATTTTATCTTTGAAAAATTTCTATCATTTGATTACAAGCAAATGAACGAATAGATTCAACACGAACAACAACATCAAGCATTTGTAAAGATATGAGATTACCATGTTTTGTACTTTCAAGACGAGTTAATTCAACCAATATACTAATATATCTATAGTGATAAATAATGTTTTTTTATTAATAAAAATTAAAAAAATAAATGTAAACCAATGCAAAATTAGTTATATGTTAATAAACATTTTGACTACATATTTCAATTATTTTTGAAAGTAATTCATCTCGATAAAGTGATCCTTCAGATTTATCCATATGAATCATTAATTTATGTACGATATCTATTAGAGCTTTTCTTGTTACCTGAACAAAAACAAAATTCATAATCAAAATTAAGCTTTTTTCAAATATTGAATGATCAGATTTTTTTTATTAATAGTTTTTCTCCATCGAATTCTCACACCATCTCAAACAAAAGCTCAATTAATTAAAGAGACCAGTTATTCATGCTTCACTCTACTTATTTAAAAGAATTTCGACAGAAAAACTCGGTAAAATGGTAAGAAGTTTCTATCATTTTCTCGAGTTTTTTGGCTGGAAATGGTGCGTATTTCTTGACCTGAGTAGAAACTAATAGATTGTTTTTATGGCAAACTCTTGTATCAATAAACATCTTTTTGTATTTCGAAAATAGATAAAAACTACAGTAAAATGATTACGAATGAAATCCATAGACTAATAAACATAAATCATACTAACCTTTGTTTTTAATGACACAGCTAAATTATACAAAGAATTTACAAAAAATTAATTCAACTAAAACTACAATAGTCATTGGAAATAAATAAGAGTTTGTAATGATCATTGTTTCATATTAATTCATAACACTTTTTATATAGAAAAGCTGTCCTAAAGCACAATTTCTATGTAATAAAATACGAGCCGATGCTGACCAGAAAATTGTAAGAACTTGGAAGCAGAAATCCGACGGCTAGCTCTGTCCAATTACGATCTATTCTGATCGAAACTAGTAAAGTCCGGCTATCGATTTTCTATTATTTTCCCAAGTTTTCCAACCGAAAATCTATAGATCCAGATGCCGACATCATCAAATAGAGATCTACCTTCTGTTGGCATGGTCTGTCTGTCCCGACCTGTGTGTACTTTCTGTCAATGTGACATTACTATGCAAAACATCTATTGGCTTTATACAGTAGATCGTCATTGTCTGGCAACGACAAAAAATAAAATATTAACATAATAATAAGAATGTTTTCAATGTATTTAATGAAATAATTTTTAGCTTCTGATCTATGAAAACATTCGCAATTTTAAAGATATTTTTTTAAGCAATTATGATAATAGTACGATGTTCAAATATCATAGGAAAAACTAGAACTAGATATCTGACTACAGTACAAGTGAATAAAATCTCCCTATATATATCGATTTATTAATCCACTCATATTCAAAATATAAGAGATTTCTTGTTTGCTTATTTTTTTTTCATTTTTCTACAACGAATAAAATCAATATCGCGATTGAATTTTTTTCTTACAATACTTATTCACGAAAATTAACATAACCTTTTTCTATTGTTAGAAAAGAGGTTAGTCGAAAAAAAATAAGTATTCACATAGCACGAACACTGCATACCTCGGTATCTATATTTTCTCATGAAAAAAAACGAACTGATTAAAAATTTAAAAAAAAAATAACAAGCAAGTTCGACAATCTGTTTGAACGTCTGTTATTTTTAGTATCTTTTTTCTATCGAATTGATTATTTCATATTTGAATACTTTCTTGTCATTGATTTTTTAGCTAATAATTCGTTTTCTTACCATTCGAGAAAGAAGATCAAGTGCACGTCAACGAATTGGTTCATCTTTATTATCCAGACAAAGCATTATTCAATCACTATGTACTTGAACACTTTTTGAATGTGTATGTAAGATTTTCGACATAGCAAGTAAACCAAGATGTTTTACTAAAAAATAATATAAAAATTTCCTTTTTTTTTGTATAATGAATATATTTCATACAATTTCGATCTTAATAAATTAAAAATTTTCTAAAGGTTTATCCTGATCAATTATGAGTACAAAATGAAAAATATCTACAAAGTTCTTTCAATGTTTAATAATTACTATTCTAGAAAACATTTTATATAATATAGTGAAGATTGTTTTGTTTATTTTAAATTCTTTTAAAAATGCTAATACGTATATGATAAACAAGTTGATTGTTATAATGATGATATCCATATGTTCCGAACCATGTTCTTGAAATATCTAATCTCCAGCTACATGCTATTGGTGATTTTGATGAATATTGTATTAATTCTTCAGCAATGGCTTGTCGTAGTCGTGCAACATATCTTGATTGTATAAGACAACATCCACTACCAAAAACTATTGATCCAATTATAGTCAAAGCAATAACTATTCCTACTAATATAGGAAATCCATGTCTATCAGAATTAATATTTGTTATTTCACCAACAATAAAAAAGGCAATTCCAGGTGCTATGATCAAACCATAAGCAATAGCAAGAATTATTAAAATTTTATTTGAAGATATTCGATGATTTATGTTATTAGTTGATTGTCGAAAAATCATCTTGATTAATAATACCATTTAAATGTATTGGATATGTTGAATCAAATTCTGATTAACAACATCCAGCTTATATATTAGTAAATAAAAATTTTATTAAATTAAATAAATCTCTATAATTTACTTTGAACCATTGGTATATAAACTGAATTAGGATTTACTGGAACACCAATCATTCTTTTTTTTTGTCTTTTAAATAAACTCAATCATAAAAAAGAATTTCCTGGATAAAATAAATTTTGAAATATGAAAATTCTACATTCGAGTCATGGACTTGAAAAACCCCTGGTTTTTTAATTAATTCTATTTATCGATTAAAATTCATTGTCATTTCTGTTGTAACGATAGTTTTTAGACCCGATCTCGATCTTTCGGTGATCGAATTTGGCACAACAAAAAATTCAATTAAAATAATGACTAAATAAACGAAGGTCATATATGAATTAATCGGTTTCTATAATAAATTATTTATAAGATAAATATTTGTTCCTAATGAACCTCATTATCAAAAAAAAAATTAATTTTAGATATTTGAATTTAAATGTAGGCACAAGAATTCACTGCGACTATTCTTGATGATAGCAACTTTTAATTTTATAGCAATTTCATCTTGGAATAGGATGACTCTTGAAATTTATCTTTAATACAAACTATAAACTAAATTGTGACACAGGACATGAGAAACTCACATTAATCTTATACTGATATATAATATTATCATGAGGGATAACCCTAATCAATTGCTCTGTGGTTGTTCAATATTAAACATCTGAAATTTATTTGATTGATTTCGAGTTTTTCAAGAAAAAAGAACAGATTTTATGAAGAATTTTTACAATAAGATGAATATTTGATAGGTTAACCTTGCCTACGTTTGTCATCAAAAAAGAGAAGTCATCAATAAAAATATCATTAAAATAATCATGGTATTGAATTTTAGTTTCAACAATATTCGAGTATTTCTCACCATTTCTCGTTAAAATCGATATGAAAATAAAATAGATTACTATAACTATTGTACAACTTATAGAATTTTTAAACGAACACGATAATGATGCAAAGAATTAATCAAAGAAAAAAAATATTACGCCTGTTGTAACGAAGAGATAATAATAAATGATTGAAACTAAAAAGTTTCTCATAATATTCACGGTAGAATAGAAGAAAAAGTTGAATAGGACTCAAGCAATAAAAGAAAAGAATAAAAAGAGTCTGTTCGTTTTTATTTTAATTTTAAATAGATTCAATGGCAACATACATCATTTTACATTTATTTCGTAATATTGCACATTAAATAAATCGAAAGAAGAACAATAAATTACGATTTGTACCATTACAAAGCGACAATTTTTCTTTATTTTTGGCATTGAAAATAGATCAATATATATCTTTTTTATATAATCATTTACCAGTAGATAGTTCACTCTTTTCAACTTTTAGAAAAGACCTGACTTGAGAAAAATAGAGGTCTTGCTTTATATTCTTGAGAGATTATTGAATACAATTTAACAAAACTCTCGATGAATTTTATCATAAATTGAAAATAAAATAATTAACGGAATTTCTTCATTTTTATATAAAAAATTTACGAAATAAAAACAAATATATGACGGTAATTGTTTCAAAGAAACAAAAAGAAGATTATTTTAATTAATATCTATTGATTCATATTACTTAATTAAACATAATACAATTAAATATTTATATGATCCAATAAACATATAAAATATGTTTCATTTCTATTCACAAAATACTATGAACATGTTTATTTTCATTACTAAATTCTTATACTTTTCTTAGTTGACATCGAAAAATTAAATCTATTTTACAAATATGAACTCTTTTTTGAATTAGAATTTTACTCAGATTAAATAAAACTTAATTTAATAATAATTCTTTATATCTGTCAAAAAAACACAAGGTTAATCAATAATGCATAAAAATAAAAAAAAACGAAATGCTTTATAAAAGAAAAAAAAATTAGTCATTTAATCATGCAACTATAAATGTAGAAAGAAAAGGTAAATATTTCATATTTATTGGATGAATAACGACCTGATGAGTAAAATTACGCTCTTATACTTGGTCGTACTACACAACATCAAGAAAAAAATCGTATCGTTTGAATAGAATATCGTGGAGATGCAGGATTTTCTTCTCGTCGAAAAATTTATGTTAATTGAGGAGCAACTGTATTTGAAATATTGATTTATATGTCTAATAATCACTTTAGAAATGTAAAAAAAACCTCATTAATTAAAATACTATTTTTAATTAATGAATCATTTTTTTGAATAAAAGATTTTCATGAAAACGATAAAATTTTTTAGTTTTTAAAATCACTAAGATGGGTGTGGGTGTGGGTGGGTGTGGGGTGGCTGGGTGTGGGTGTGGGTGTGTGGGTGTGGGTGTGGGTGTGGGTGTGGGTGGGTGTGGGTGGGTGTGGGGTGGCTGGGTGTGGGTGGGTGTGGGTGGTTCAGGAGAAGAACTACACCCAAACCCACATCCAAACAACCCACAACCACACAACCCACACCCACACCCACACCCTTAATGTCATTACCCAGGTCAATCGATCCTAACTAACGGATTCCGACAATATCCGGACCGGAATCTGGTAAAATCCGACAAAATTGGGATAGATTTCAGTCGGAATTATTTGGAACCGACAGGATTCGATCGGGCGTGATTGACCTGGGTAAGTATTTCCTAATCATCGATCAGTACAATTCATATGCTGCTGCAATAACTTCTCCACTCGCTTCAACTGTATCTGTATCAATTCACTGTCGAAAGACGGACTATTTTCTGATTATCTTTTATGAAAACATAGATAAGTTGTATACAACGCAATCAATGTTTCATAAATAAGCATCGCGTACAACATTGAAAAAGAAAGTAATATTAGTGTTTATTGTCACCAGAATCGTTTGATTGATTCATTGAATTCTTTCTTGTACATTTCCGATGGTAGGACGAATATGACAAAAGTCAACATCGGAGGAATAAATGAAATGAAATAACCAATTAGATACAGCCATGGATTTCGAGTCGATTTCATACATCCAGATAAAAATGATATAATCAAACGAGGAAGAGCCAACAGGACGAGAATGAATGGTGAAATTAATAGATGTTTATGATGTTGAAATTGCTCACGTAGAAGTTTCTTGTAGGATTGTGTTTTCTGAACGTTCGAACGGGTACGAGCTGTAGTGATAATAATGACTACTGCCGAAATACAATTGGTTGCGAATGGAATAGAAAAATGAAGAATATTCAAAGCCCAATCAAACATTTGTACAGATGGTGAATATTTGGTTACACACCATGCGCGTTGTTCTCCTTCATCATCGATCAAATGACGGTGCATCGGATCATGAATATGGGTACAGGAAGTAAAAAGAAAAACAATCAAAATTATCCATTTAGCAATTTGTTTGCTCTTTGCTTTATCAAAATTAATTCCTTTCGAAACATTCATTGCTCGTTCGATGGCTACACAAGCACTAAGCCAATCGCCAGCACTCAGAAGAAGTCGAAGAAGAAAATCAATCGATACACATTGTACATGTGTAAACGAACGATTATTGATCGAACCCATTTGTGATGCAAGAAGAAACCAGAACTTGACTGTGAATACACTCATGGTAATCACAGATGTGATCGAAGATGTAAATAAATAAAGACCACAACCGACATTGCGTGTTGTTTCTCTTTGAAAAGTTAAAACTGAGAAGAGACTGCTGATAAAGCCCAAACCAAGCATAATTGTAGTAAGTGCAATTAAAATTTTGATAATGAAAGACTGTCGACTGATTCCAATATGAGGATGAATTTGATAGCCTAATATACTATCTAATGAGAGAGTCGATCCTTTAGTAGAAAACTGACATCTCGAACCATAATAACATTCACGACAGGTACAGATTGTTAATGTTGGACATTTTGGATCATTTTGAAAGCATTGGCCACCATTCTCACATAAATTGTAACCATGACAATCATAAGTCATATTATGATCAAATTCAAAACAATTGGTTCGTCGACCCAGATCACATAAACAGAAATGAATTTCATCATAGAAACAAACTAAATTTAATCGTTCTTTACATGGAATATGATAATATTTGATGCGTTTCAACAAATGTTGATTAACAAATGTTTTATTAAATAGTTCATGAATGGATGCACATCGTTGAGATGGTATGATTTTTGTAGAAATAATAGATGAAGAAATGGCTTCCTCTCGAAGAATAATCAAATAATAATCATTGAAAAATTCTACAAAAGCAATATTGAATATAATCGAAGTATAAAGTGAAAGTGAATTTTGATCAAATCCAATTTTTTTCATTATACTTCTTCGAATATGTTCGGCATTGTTTTGAACTGTAATAAAATGAATAAATAACAATTGTGGAATAGTTATTTTCTTATGAAATGATATATCGATTTGAGTCTGTCGATATTCACAGCGATCTCCTGAATATTCTTCACGACAAATACATATTGATTTATTCACAAGTGTGTTTACGTAACGTTCATCACTAGGTATCCATAAACCACTATTTGCACATGATTCAGATTGACATGATGATTGAATGAGATAACATCGAGGACCAAATCGACAGAGAGGACATATACAAATGGAATCACCAATACACAGTGAATTAGGGGCACAATCACATTTATACTTAATGCTACATTGAGTACCTGACCAACCAGGATTACATCGGCAGAATGTCTAATTTTGATCATTAACATAATTGAAGCATTGACCATAAATGCATGGTAATGGACATTTTTTGAGGGGTTCACCATTTACCATGGGAACTATGAGTAGAACAGATAGACGATGAACGGGCAAAAATGGAAAACGAAGTGGAAAAATCCAGCTGGCTCGATAACTCAACGTCAATTTATTAAATGCATCAATTCGTACCGAATAATTATTTGCTACATTTTTTGGTCGAGTTGAATAGAGTAAATAAATATTGAATTTAATGTCACAATTTCGAATGGGTAAATATTCAATATAACCATGTGATTGAATATTTCCTTCATTATCAATTAGAGTGATTAGCAATGTGAATAGAGTGTTCCAATCCGATCTAACTCGTATTTTAACTGTAAGACTGACACGTTGATTTTGATATTGACATCTATCTCCGTAGTAACTCGGTGAACAAAGACAATACAATTTATATGTGCCATTATTCATTCGAACATAAATGGCAACTCCACGATTACACTGCCATTCGGTATCATAACTGATATCCAGCATTCGATTGTTTTGAATCGATTGAATTTTTGTCTGAGGTGATGGTGATGGTGAAAATGAGGTAGTGGTCTCAGTTGCTAACTGTAATACATAGGTTGGCATATTGCGCAGTGTAAAATAGGTCCTAGTTGATCGCAGGAATCTTTTCATAAGATTACAAAAATAATTTTCGACCTCTGTTCGAGAAGATGACTCTAAAGCGAAACAGATTGCATTTAAATGAGATCCATAGTTTGTACAGAATATTTCATCGTCACCAGATTGACACTCTGCTTCGTTATTACAAAGATAGTGAGGTTCAATACAAGTTGTATCATTCCGACATAAAAAATTGTATTGAAAACTAGATGAATCAGCGGATCGACAGCGATTTCGTTCATCGAACGCACCAAGACAGTCAACGATACCATCACCAGCTTGATCAAGTGGTAAACATGATACTTTATATGTATTGTTTGGAAAGACACAACTATGTTGAAACTCAGGACAAGTTGAAGGTGGACAATTAATCTCGTCAGCTCCATCCTTACAGGACCAAAATCGATCACATCTAGTGTAAGTGTTGTTACATAACCAATGTTCACATTCTGTCTCATCCGTTTCATTTCGTCCATCAATTAATATAGGTAATAGATCTTCAAATCCATCACATATATTTTGAAAATAAATATGATTTTTTGTTAATGTTGTATCCTTATTATCTTCATCTTCTCCGTATTTGCAATCATTTTTATTATCTTGGATAATTAATGGTGCGAAACATTTTTTGATATTATCTGATGAACATGTAAAACGTTGATGGACATCATTTAGTGAGCAACTCTGATTGAATGTTTCATCATCATCAAACGGACAGTCACGAATACCGTCAACAAGACGATATTTTGATATACATTTGTTTGAATTCTTACATTTATACATCGTTGAATAATTACAATAATGTGTTTCATTGTATATTACTAAACATCCACGAAATCGATCTTTGATATTTACTATAAAGTTTTCCAATTGATTATACCAATATTCATTCAAACCTATTTCAGATAAATGGCGGCAAGTCAAATTGTTCAGATGTTGTGTAGCTGGAAGAAAGTCTGCACAAAGTTTTTCATCGTAACATACGCAATCAGGTAAAGGAATGTAATGAGAATTGATTTCCATTTTTCGATTCGTAAACATAAAACGTACATGTCCAAATAAAATGGAACCAGTAGGAAACTCGTATAGCGATGGACAATTATTTCTTGGACAATTAGTTTCTGCACAAAATTCTTCGCACCATTTATAATCAATTAGATCGTAGAGTTTCATAAGACAGGCCATTATACGTGAACAAAGATCGTCAAAGACTAAATCGCCACGACCATTTTCACATTTGAGCCATGATTGTACATTTATCTCATTTGTACATTGCCCATCTCCACATGGAAATTCTCTATGTCCTGGTCGACAAGAATGTTCTTCGCATCGAAAACCATAATCATCTGGGCAATATTTATTATAATAGTTATATACAGGTTCATCTGTTCGATCCAAACAGTCTAGATTGATTATAACATCATGAAAGAATTCTACTGGAATACATTGACCATTATGACATCGATATTCATTTTCAGCACATTCATTTATTTCAAGTTGCCAACAATTGAATTCATCAGACCCATCGAGACAATCATTTTTTCTATCACAAATCTCACGCCAATCCAAACATACAGATGATGTCACACAATTTAGATGTATGTAACACGTCACATGGTCATTGTTAGAAACATCAATTTCATTGTACGATTCATCAATATCGAATGCGAAACGACAGAACGGACCAAACCATGATGATGTACAATTATAGAATAATGTTTCATTATTTGATAGCAATAATGACCAATTTAAAATATTATTCAGAAAGATTTCATAGTTTTCAGCCAAGTTAATAGAAGATGACCAAGAGAGTAATAGTTGACTACTGATGTTTTTCTCTTTTAATTCGAAAAAATTAAAACTAGGATCAATTGCGTTGTTAAAATAAAAGTCTGTAATCAAAACACTTTCTTCTAATGGTCGAAGACACATTGGAAGTAATTGATGTGCTAATATTATATATGGTTCTTGTTCATCAGATATACTATCCTCTATATAAAATAATAGACAATATTGATCTTGATAATAATCATTAATGTACATATTTAATTGATCTTGTGACAATACTTGTGTCTGCCATATAATTAATATGTATAACACTAACATACTGTAGATAAAAGTATATCTTTCAACAGAATATGATTTCTTTTTCTTTGAAATATATATCACATTTTATTAGAAAACTAACACGTTCAACAAAATCAGTAACGTGTTCAACTATAGAATTATTTTCTTTGCTTCATACGTGACATAAACATTATATGAAAAAGGCCTATTCCATTTTACTTAAGTAAATACATAAGCTTAACAATACATTGTTTTATTATAGAAGTATTTTTTTTATTAAGTGCAGATTAAATCTAATGTAAAAGAGAAATATCCCTAAAACTATCATTCTTTCCTAAGCAAGGTTTAAATTGATTTTTAAGTATTGATCAAATATTTAATGATCATTTGTGTGTTAGAGATCCATTATTAGTAAGAAGGATAGATTACGAAAAGATGGAAATGAATAAATATGTTAATTAAAAGAAAAAGGGTGGGTGTGGGTGTAGATATTCTCTGAACCACATCCACATTCACACCCTCAAGCGATCTAAACATCGACATAAAAATCGCCATTGAAGCGAATCGAATTCATTGACACTGAGATTTCTACTTATGAAGACCCAGAATGATCTATAGCAGTAAACTGAAGCTGAGTGAACATCCTCATATCAATAATCAGAGGCGTATGAGTTCTGATGAGCATTATCGCTGTTTTTAGTATTTATTATTTATTTCAAGAAAAGTAAAACAACCTGCTAATCAACATACGGATGTATACTAGTTTTGAAATTGATGTGTTAAAAAATTGAAAAGGGAATCGAGAATATATTGAGATAATCAATCAAAGCAATAATCAATGTCTTATTATGATTCGATGAAAGAGAGTTCAGATTTCTTTGCCGCGTAAGTAAAAAGCTGCTCGTCCTTTTCCATTAGCAAAAAACCAATATCCAAATCCATTCCGTTGATCATGTTTAAATTGTCCGATGTACTTGTCACCATCGGACCATGTTTCTTCTCCATATCCATGTCTATCCCCTTGAACAAAATCTCCTTCGTATCGGTAGCCACTAGGATATCTCATTATTCCAAACCCAGTCATCTCATCGTTTTTAAACTGTCCCACGTACGTTACGTTGCTAGAAAATAAATATATACCAACGCCGTTCATTCTGCCATTACTCCACTTGCCAATATACATGCTTCCACTGTCCCAAAGATACGTTCCCATCCCATGTCTATAGTCATTGAGCATTTCGCCTTTATAAATACCGTTGTTATACACTTTAGTTACATTTTCAGCCTATTGAAAAAAAGTTGAACTATAGCAAATATCTCAAAAAAGCATGGCTATTTCAAAAGTTGTAATTTACCGTAGATGATCGTTTTATTCTGTTTGTTAAATCTCTGGTATGTCCTAAAAATGTTATACATTGAGTAAATAACGTTAGACTCACAATATTTAGTTTAGAAAAATGTCAACCAAGAGTAGAATTGCAGGTACCTGGTAACATCTTAAAAAAGTATCGTGATTTATGATAAATGAAAAAGCTTCATATTTGTTTGGTCAAGGTATCCGATGATGAGATCTTGAACAAATAGTGCACAAATAAAAGAGAAAAATGAATGTTTTCAATGATAATATGCATAATGAGGTCAATCATTGCAGTTCTCATCATGTTTAGAATAGCAAAACTGAATTCTGATACGATACAGTCGCTCCTTATATCGAAATTTGTTAATCCTTGGTTTAAGTGACATATTGAAAATAATTTTCTCTATACGATGGCGTTCTGCTCTGTTTCAATAGTGCAAGTCGTATTAGGATAGGTAACTGTATGAAATGAAGATTTTATTTAAACAGATGGTTACTTTTGTTGTTGACTTTGTTTTTGTGCCTATACTTCTTGTTTAGAGAGCTTGCAAGAAACAACAACCTTAATTGAGAAGTCACGTTTAACTCGTTCAAATACAATACTAAAAAGCAAAAGATAAAAATGCGAAAATCGATTATGTTAGGTGCGGTTTTAATTATTTAGATGGAATAGATCATGACTCGATTCAGTCACAGAGTAACATTTCCAGGATTAATTTTCAATGTCGCGTATGAGATTTCTCGAAAGTTTTCTAGTGCTGTTATCCCCATAAAAGCAAACTCACAAATTCTTATTGTAACATTCTAAATTTCAGCATTGAGTTATTTTCTAGAGATCAAAACCCGAAATAAATCCACAACATTTACAAATATTTTTTCACCATACTTCGAGGAGTAGAACTGAAAATGATTTGGTGGCGTTGAAATCCCTAAAATCGTGAAAAGCTTCCTGGGATTTGGCGAACAGACAAGATTTTCTAAAGAGCTATATTCCATTTGACAAATGTCTTCCATCATTTGAAGAAACATCAGTTGTCTGAATAAAAAGATCGCAGTCATTCCTATAAAAGATTTCGCTTGAATACTGTTTTAAATCCAGCTCAAAACGGAAACACTTTATGTCAATGATAAGTGCGTATCACAAAGTATCGAACTTTGCTCATCATCATGCAGATTAAGATCGATAGTATCAACTATGGATGCAGCAGTAACGGTCATTCACCAGTATACTGTCATCATTTTACAGGTCAACTATGATAATTGTAAGTACGCTTACCTACTTCTAGTGATCCTTCACGAAGGGAGACAGTTTTTTGAGAAAATAACTATGATCTACAAAGCTTGATAAATGTGAATCTGTGTTGCGAAACACGATAGTCAATCTTTTGCTCATAAAATATCATTATTTTCTTTAAATAAACTTCCTTTTGTGAAGAACATGTGAAAAACAGTAAACCGTACCTACGATTATTGTAGTAGACTGGCGATCGTAAGTACAGCTATCATCACTGTTGCAATACTAGTGTTAGCAGCTACCATCTATTCCGTGACGTACGCTCTAATGATTACACAATGAACGACTGAAGAATCGCTTCGAACAACTGTACTATTATTTAAAAACAGAATTCTTTTAAGAATTTTCGAAATTCAATAGTATAATTATGCATTTGTAAAATAGATGTTTCAAGGGACATGCCGGTATGGTTATCTAAAAAGTGTTTTAATTTTGACAAAAGCCGACTTTTTGACGGTAGGAATCCTTAACATACATTCAACAATACGAACAAACATGTTGTGATGCCGTTTTTCTCTACGTAGCCGATTTCAGTTGATATCGCAATAGCAACTATATCAGTACAACTTCTTCATAGGACATGTGACCGACTTATTTCTACATGCTATCGATAGTGAAAACGGGATCACATCTTTTATGTTTGACTGAGATGATTTTCTCCTTATCATGTAACTTACTTGATTTAAGATTAACAAGTGAAGCAATTGATTTAGATTTAACTTTGGAAGAATCGTTCAATTGCTTTTCAGTCAAGAAACCATTCTGTTCACCTTGTCGTTTGTAATCTTCAATTGCATATTCGATGGCTTCATTTCGACCTTTTTGATTGTGCGAATACCCTTGCATCATAGATAACGATGGACACCAAAACCGTCCTTGCCAACGCCATTTCGATTCCGATAACTCGCCTTTGATCGTAGTCATACATGTTACGCCGAACATTTCTTGTTCATTTAGATCGTGCCAGGAATTTTCAAACGTACTAATATCTTCTTGGTATTCTGTTTCGTGTTCAATGCAGTTGTCAGTTGAACAAGGTTCCTGACAGAAAGTAACGGCGACATTAGCAACAAGAAGGTAGAAAAGAATTGTTTGTGTCATGTTTTGTTTTGTAAATATTTCTAGTAAGTGCCGTTTATATATAACTTAGATGTAAAAGGTTGAAAACCTTTTACTGAAGTCTCATATTTCGTGTGTTGATCAAGAGTAATCACGAATATTCACTTCCTTTTTACGTAAATATCACTGATAAGAAGTTAATTACCTACTTCTCTATGCGTGGAATATGAGTAGAATGGATCTTGTTTCTATTTTTCTCAGTTAATTCAAAATACCGATAACGAACGTAAATGAATGATGGGAAATTTCCAACTGATCTTTACATAGATACACTTTTGCCATTCATCAAATGTAAATAAGCATTCAACGTTTCAACACTATGTAATAGCTTTCAACATGTAGAGTTTTCAACTTGGAATTCGTTCATCCATGGAATCGAATGCCGTAAACAAAACCAATTAATAATTAGCAGTGTCGAGTCTGAAGATTGAGTTCCACTATTGGAAAATGTTTTTTTAGATAATTGACACTTGAACTCCGCAATTCAGTTGATCAATCCCTCCTAGTGTTACTTCTAAGCAAACAACAAGCCAAGAATGTTATACACGTAATGCATAATATGAAACTCACAATCGTCAAGTTGGATGTAGAAATGCAGTCTGAAGATGGTGGGATATGCTTGTGTATGTTTTTTTTACATTGTGACAGTCTAAAAGTGACGCCCACATACATACCAAGGTCCAGATCCACACCAGCCTCACCCTTACCATTATCATTAAAAATTGAAATCATACAAATACAGGGTGGTCCATAAGTCACCCGACACTCTTGTATTGCGAATAACTTTTGATAGGAACAAGATATAGACCTGGGGTTTTCACCATTCGAAAGAGCGATGTTCGGACCGTCGGTCCATATAATATTCACTAGGACGAAAGATGCTTTTTCACAGAAACTTTTCAATTGATATTCTTTTTTTTGTGCATTTTCATAAATTTCCACAATAATCCCGTCTCAAATTACGCCAAAATGTAGCTCAAATCCCCCATTTTTCGCTATAAAATTATCATTTTATGCATTATTCCGTCGACCTCTTTTTTCAAGTGAACCTTCGAAAAATACTGATAATTTTATAGCGAAAAATGGGTGATTTGAGCTATATTTTGGTGTAATTTGAGACGAGATTAATGTAAAAATTTATCAAAATGCACAAAAAAAATGTCAATTGAAAAGCTCCTATGAAAAAGCATCTTTCGTTTTAGTGAATATTATATGGATCGATGATTCGAATATCGCTCTTTCGAATAGTGAAAACCGCAGATCTATATCTTGTTTCTATCAAAAGTTATTCGCAATACAAGAATGCCGGGTGACTTATGGACCACCCTATATATTAATATTCAGTAGGTGTCGATTTAACTGGGTATGGTAAGAATCGATAGATTGGTACCTCACATAGAGACATGTGTGCACACATTTACATGAAATAAGTGGCAATGAGAGTCTGTTGTTTTCTGACTATGTCATGTTTCATTATACATTCTAAAGTTATAAATGAACAACTAGATTGAACATATAGCCCTTATGCATTTTCGGGTCTCTGTTCACCGATCGAGATCGAGACGGACAGATCGTAAAATGTGACCGGCTTAAGTTTTCAGAATGCCATCCTTTGCTTTCAAAGAAAAAAAATTGAAAAATGTGCTGTATACTAAGTAGATTCGAACCAAGCTTTCAGACAAGTTCGTGAAAGAATGTTCCGTGCAGTCACTAGAGAAAAATGTGTCACATAAAATTCATCGTGTCTTACATTTTATCTCAAAACACGACATATGCGACTCTTATTACTTGAGCGTGTGTTATAGTGACAGCTAATGATCCATCGCAATCTGATGCTATTCGATGTTGGGCATGGATCGGAACAGTTTGGCTATATATCAAACATTGTGATAATTGCTTTATGTGGTCATATAAAAGGTTATGGAATAAAATTCAGTGAATATAGGTTCTCTATGGTTTTATTCCGACTATAATGGCATGCGTCAGGACGAAAATGAAAATCAAGATAATTGATATATTTGTGGTAGTGTATTCGAAACAATAAATATATTACTTTTTTTTGTTTTTTGTATGAAATCTTTTTTTCTCCCATTTTTTTGTAAAAGAACGTATCAAATGGTGAAATAGGACGTTAATCTATTACTTATTTTCCTCATGAAAAAACGAATATTATTTCTTTTTTTCTCGATTGAATGAAATCGAATTCAGCACACATAGGTACCAAAAACCAGAGAGTACGAATACGTGATGTTTCAGAATTCGGTTGGAAACACTATTATCACGGTCATCCTTCTCTAAAGCATGATAATTATTATTTATGTGACAAGAATTCATCCGTGATCAGTATGGCGTCAATTTCGTCTTTCATCTTACAATGATGACAGCCATGTGTTGTCATCGTTCTGCCGAAATAAATCAATGCTAATATTCAAATATTTACGAAGGAATAAGCATTGCTAGTTAAGATAATGTTTTAAAAAATATTTTTATCTAGCCTGGCCATGTTCCATTCATATTTTTTAATATTCAAATAGTGAATGATAAAACTTTCAACATCTAGTCTCTAGGACACACTTTTTACAGTGCCATAGACATTGACGTGTTGATTATTTCATATATGTTTTTGAAGTATTCCATGTTACGCTAGAACAGCCTTTACACGGATACTTCAATTTATCGGATACTTTTTAAATTGATGATGACTGTTGACAATACAGCTTCGATCTTGACGTTAGGAACCAGAGATGTCCATCGTGCCGCTGCCGCGCCGCCAACTGCGGCCGCGGCAGCGGCAGCGGCAGGTTTTTTTTTATAGATTAGCGCGGCGCGGCAGATCATTCATAACGGTGCTGCGGCAGTGGCACGGCAGCGCCTTTTGATTTTTTTAGCCACCACGGCAGCGGCGCGGTACGATTTTTTTGCAGAAATTTACTCTATAATTCTAAAAAATTTCCTGCTTCACAGCTGAAATTAAACTAGTCTTTCACATAAAGTAGACAAATTAAATTCTTTTTCTAAATGTTGCATTTTACGGTGATTTTAAAGTGTGGAGACTAATAAAAGCTTTAAGCTTATCTAAGTTAATTACGTTGGTACGAGAAATATACTGATTACAATATGAAAGTGTTTATTGTATTGTCTTACGTCTAATAGATATTTTTTAATATCATTTTCAGTTCATGCTTTGTTTGCTAAAATCTTTTTCCATTCTTTTTCTGTATTAAAAATGCCAATTATGATAAATAGTCGTAATTAATCTGTTTGTTTTAATGTTACTTTTTATTTTTTTTGCTGATCTAGACCTATCAAACTATCGCAAATTGAAAATGAACAACAAGAGTTTATTAACATCGTGCATATTAATACATTTTATAATTAATTTTCCTCTTTAAATTAGAATATAGAAAGGTACATGATATGATTCTTTGTAGGTTTGAAATCAATCATTTTCATGTCACACATATGATTATACATATCGTAAATATTTAGATTATTTGCTTAAATGCTAGTAAAATAGAGTACCAAGATCAATCAATAAGAGAGTGACGGAGAATATCACTAACAATCATTACGAATAGAATTTGAATTTATTCAAACCGTACCAATCACAATACAAAATGCAAGTCTGTTAGAAATAAAGACAAATGGAAGATAGAGAAAAAAAATAAATCATATACGGTGAAACCTCTATTAGTGAAAATTCCCTGTTCCAACGAATGTTTCGAGCCTCCCTTCAATTTTTTCTGTAAACAGACCTATATATAGTGAATACCTCCCATCTCTGAATAGTGAACACCATTTTTGGTCCTCTCAACAATAAAATCTATACATAGTGAGCATGTGAAACAATGTATGCGCGTGTATGTGAAAGAAAAGACAAAAAAGAACACAGGATGCATTATCGAGCGGTAACAGGTCAATTCATCGTCAGTCTACTCATCTAAAAAAAAATCATCGCATGTATGAAACAAACGAAACAGTGAAAATGATTAGTCCGCGACGAATTGATCGTCCGCATGTCAAAGAATAACGCATTTATCCATTTATGAGTGAGATGACGACGAGACATACACTGACTCTCTCTGAAAAGATGCACTTAGTTCGTCAAAGTGAAGAACATTTTTTGTAGTGTACAGCTGCTGACAAATATAAAAATGTTTTTATTTTATTTTATTTCATAAAAACTGAGTCAGTATATTTAATAGATAAAAGAAATACTTTTTTTAACTTTGCATTTACTGGAGTGAGGTCTAACACGAAAGATACGTAGTGAGCAATTAGTCATAGTAACCATGCACTTTATATTTATAACAGTTCACTCAATATAAAACTTTCATATGATGAACCCCTCCTTTAATGAACAATTAAGTATTGAAGAGTTCTGATGGTGTTCAGTATAATTAGAGATAGAGAAGTTTCATTGTGTGTATATAATGAAAAGGAAAGAAAACAAAACTGATGATGTTTGAAACGCTTAATAACTTCATCGTGTATTGCATCATCCACCAAGTATTTAGGATTCATTCAATGAAAAACAAAGTTATTTGCTAAATAAAATCAAGAATTATTTCCGATTATAGAGTAATCTTTTTTTCTGAGCGCAGTTCTTTTTGAGACAACGATTTTGCTTTTGTTTTAATCTCATAATTCATAGATTGTTTCTTGCATTAAACTTTCATTAAATTGTTTTAGATGGCATCTGGTAATTCAACATCTTCTTTTCCAAATACTGTTTTTATTAATGATTCATCACCACCAGCTACGATAACATTCGATAATCAACAATTAAAGTCAAAATTAAAATTTGCAATTTTGGATGATATCGATCGAAAAAAAGGATGTGAAGTGAAAGAAGCAGCTGATGAAATTAAAAAGTTATTGAGCAAACGAATTGATCGATACACTGTTGCTGCCCATGGCATTACAAAAACACATCCGGCTGCTTGGTGGTTAACATTTGGTTTTGCAAAAGAAATTGTATCCGGTGAGTCTTACTCAATCTCTAACTTCGTTTCTTGTCAGAATTGTTTTAATACGTATCGATATGGTGTATCATCAACTGAATCCATTACACGTCATCGATGCGATACAGCAACATCGTCATCTGCATCTACTTCAAATAATAATCAATCTACATTAAATGTCCATTTTAATAAAAATAAAAAACAATTTCGTGTTTCTGAACAACAAAATCTTACTAAATCATTTTCATTCTGGATTTTTGATAGTTTTCGTCCAATGTCAATTATAGATGATCCTAGTCTTCGTGAAATTTGTACTCACTTTTATAATTTAGGTAAAGTCAAATTTTTTAAAGTTTATCTAAACCGTACAATCATGAATGTGAGGTAGTGTTGGTTATCATTCACTTTCTCTTTTTAGGAGCAAAAAATGCTAATCGTAATATGGATATAGAAACTTTATTTCAATCAAGACAAACAATTTCTCGATCTATCATTGATCAAGCTCATCATTATCGTGTAGAATTAACAGAGCTAATTAAAGAATCAATTCAAAATAAATCATTAACCATATCACCAGATATGTGGTCAGACCGCTATCGTCAAATATCTTACTTAGGTTTAACAGTGACCTACGTTGATTTACATCTCAAATATTACAAATTTTCTATGTCATGTCGTGATTTTCCAGTTGAATTATCAAAGGCCGGGGAAAACATATCAAAAGTAAGAATACTTGTTTCTTTCAAAAAATCTTTTTTTTTTCTTTTTCTCCTAGATATTAAAAGAAGAGATGAATCGATTTGGAATTGACCATTTCGATTCAGTTAACTGGATTAGCGACCGTGGATCAAATTTCCTTCGTTGTGGGTGTGGGTGTGGGTGTGGGTGTGGGTGTGGGTGTGGGTGTAATGGGTGTGGGTGTGGGTATCTTTTTTAGAACATGTGCACCCACACCCACATCCACATCCACACTCACCCACATCCACATCCACACTCACCCACATCCATATCCACACTCACTCACATCCACACTTACCCACATCCATATCCACACTCACCCACATCCACACTCACCCACACCCACATCCACACTCACCCGCACCCACGCCCACGCACACCCACACCCTAGAGCTGGTTCAACCGGGATCATGGTATTGAGCATTATAGTATTGCTTGTGAAATGCTAATATTTTGTTGATACTGTGCAATGATGGCAAAAAATCAAGTAAAGTAGTGTTATAGTGCATAATTTTTCTGCCTTCGATTCACGCTATTCGGCGTCTTTCAAGCTGTTCGAACGATGAGTAATAGAACAAGCAAAACGACGATGATATTTTTATGCGTAAAAAACCATGTATCTCATTAAAATATCGTATTTAATGATAGAAGCAAAATGAGAATAATATTTTCATGAGGAAAAAAATCAGGTATCTCATTAAAATATCTTAATTAATGATAGAACAAGCAAAACGACGATGATATTTTTATGAGGAAAAAATCAGGTATCTCATCAATATATCATCATAAATGATCGAACAAGCAAAATGACGATAGTGCTTATATGAAATAAGCAAGGTATCTCAAGCATATTTGATGATTAGTTATTTCACGGACACGGATGAAGGCACACAAGCTAAACTTATATTAGTGATACATACAGAAGCAACGTCTTGTTTTCATCTCTAGTATAGAACAACGTCGATATATTAGTGTTATTCTGGTCATCAGCACACAAGACTTCGTATAATACAGAGAGCCAACGTATGTGTTTTGAAATTGCATTTTCTTCAGACAGCGTTTGTTATCATCATTATTCAGTGAATTTTTCTATTCTTAAATAGTACCACAAAGCTTATATTAATTTTTTCCGTATCATAGTAATTATTTTCCTGCCGGGAAAAATATTCCGAAATTCTGTATGGAATGAATAGTAAATATTAACTACTGTAAAGTCATGCTTGTCACAAAACGTCTGTAGCAGGAGTTGTTAATCAGCTTTGTGAGGTCCCATGTAGAAAAAAAGACCGTTCAACATTCTGTTCTTTTACCATTCGAAGAAGTTTGATCTCACTGAAAATTCCATATGATATTGTACAGATAAAAAGTGCTTCAAGAAATTTTCGTAAACGGATTTCTCTTCAACTGAATTCTGGCGAAGAATTTGCTCAGGATATTGCCGTCACAGTGAATAGTTCTATTCAGATAACAGCTGTTTTTATGATATCAACACAATTCGAGTCGGTAAGTTTTAGAAAAATCATATTTCTCCTAAAATGACTTTCCGGCTAGGATTGTCCCGAAAAGTCTCAAGTGAGAATGACGAAGTAGAATAATGAGCTCATTTGGTGCTTGTGTTATCCAATGTCCCATGATGAAGACAAAAATCATAAAAGATTCTTCAGTACAAGATAATGGGCACACAGTTCTGAAAAAAAGGGTGCTTTCGTTGAAATACCTCTAGCTCTAAAACTTTGAAGTGTACTTTTCGGTCACAGTACACGATCATAACTGTAAAATAGTTCGTTTTTCCCGTAGTTCCGTAGTGCACTCATAGTACTAAAAAAGCTGTTAGTCCAATTCCTTGCGGGATTAATACTGAAACACGATGGGCCTATTGTTACAAATTAAATGGGCAACGTTTTCTTCCATTTCTTTACGATAGATTTCTAGCAGACCATTTATTTGATGCTTTAAATCTACAATTTCTCTGTTACGGTATGTGATGGTCTTTAGAGTTCTCTGTCACGTTCTGTGATGCTTTCTGGAGTTCCTCTGTAACGGTCTGTGATGGTCTTTGGAGATTCTCTGTCATGGACTGTGAAGATCTTTGGGAGTTCTCTGTCACAGTCTGTGATAGTCTCTGGAGGTTTTCGGTCACAGTCTATGATAGTCTTTGGAAGTTCTCTGTCACAGTCTGTGATGGTCTGTGGAGGTTCTCGGTCACAGTCTGTGATGGTCTTTGGGAGTTCTCTGTCACGGTCTGTGATGGCCTCTGGAGGTTCTCTGTCGGGGCATGTGATGGGCTTCGAGGTTCTCTGTCACGGTCTGTTATGGGTATGAATTTTCTCTGTCACAGCTGTATGGAGCGGGGGAATGGGTCCAAAATTTCTACCCTATGAACTTCAAAACTCCTTTCAGATCGTGTTTCACAAAATAATGATGCCTTAGCATACATGATTCCCTAGCCTTTTGCTTGATATCTCTCTGGGTTTTTATGGTGTCAAACCCTAGCAACCAATTAAATGAACGCTTTCGTTGAGCTTTGACAGCTGTACTCTGTGAGTGTACCTTAGAACGTTTTCATTAAAAACCTATAGTGTTAAATAAATGTGAGCTTTCACAAGTTTTCGAAAGTATCTCTGTTTTTCACCGTATTTTTCCAGACACTGAAAAAATACAGGCAACTTGTCGTAGAATTTTTACTTGGAGCAAGTTATTGGTTTTTATTTATGCCAATAAACGATACTATACAAGGTTAGACGCATTCTGAAACGGTGCTACTTCGAATAGTTTAAGTGTTAATAGTAAGGAAAAGCATGCAGGATAATGACTAGTTTTTCTGAAAAATAAAGTTTCTAGGTAGAAATTTTTACATGCTGCTTTAGTATCAGCCAAAAATACGAGTTAATATCAATGAAAACAGATCGAAAGTGATTGCTGTAGCACTTAGTAGATAATTCAGTGCTGAAAGTTTTTGGAGAAAATCCGTTTCGACACAATAAAAACTAACAGAGATATGTGTAGGCATCATATATGAGGCATAACGGATTCCAGCATAAGGAAATATATAAATGGACAGAATGAAGAACAAGAGGTCCTGCTTGAAACTCGAACTGCACATGTCCTGCGATCCGAGCAGATGTCCTAAGCTAATTAGATTAGAAGGGACATTTTAGTCTACGTTTAGCATCAGAGTGTACCGTCGTTGATGCTAACAATATGAAGGAAGTAACGATGACTGATTTATCCTAACTCACCTATTAATTTGAGAATATATGGAAAAAAAAAAAACAGACCAAGGAATCTTCAGAGCGAGTATTATCATTAAACTAGTTTAACTTCTAGGATTGTCTTAGGTATTATTTGGCCATAAAGAGGAGTTACAAGCACTCACGAGGGAAGTACCCGAAGTGTTCCCTCGACTTCGAGCTCAAATTTTGCCCACAAGTAGACTTCAATGTCAATAGTCAAAGCCTAAAAAAATTCGCGCTCATGGGCTGTTGAAGTCGACTTATGAACAATTCACTGAATTTTCAATTTCAGCCAAGACGCTCATGGAAAAACCAAAAGCTGGTATTTTGACCTGAAATTTTGCCCACGAAGAGGTCTCATGATTATTAGAATCTCCTCAAAGTTTCAGTCAAAATGGATGCTTTATCCTTGAGATAGTGGATGGTTAAAAAAATGATAATATATCGCAGAAAAGTCAGAAAATATTATTGTAAATCCTGTAATTATTTTGAGTTAGGGAAACACTAATGAGTTTGGTTGTGAATACAAGAGAATGAACCAATGTGGAAGTAGACTTGAGCATAGGTGCGGCTGGTCGTTCGTTGGCGCCCCTGCGGAGCGCCTCTCACGACTAGCCGCTCATTTGCGAGGTCAATTGCAGTTACGGTTGAGAATAGATCGGTATAAAACCTAACATATGTTTTGGGAACACTTCATCAAGATTCTGTTAACGAAGAATTCCAATCTAACGCAATTTTTATAGCAAGTTCGAGGAAAAAAAACAAAAGTATTAAGTATAGTTCACAACAAAATCTGCTCTTATCGGAAATTTCTGTCGAGATTTCTTCCAACTTTTGTAAGACAAATATACCTATTGTCTGATGCGTCGCCTCTCCATCATTACGATGAATACAATCCATCACGTTCAATTTTCTATGATTTTTCCTATTAGAAAGGAAATGGTAGAAGCCTCTACATTCCGACTTTAGTTCATCTCACGCTTTTCTTCGAAAATGCAGCTGAGCTCTATAAAGAGGTTTTCGAATGAGAAGTTGCACTTAAACATGGAAGCGGCTAGCCGTGAATGGTGCTCCAGAGGAGCTTTGACGAACGACTAGTCGATGATTCTAAAAGTTCACTAACGATATTCTTAGTGAAAGCTCGTAAGAAGACTACCGCGCTTTTCGAGAGAATTCTGGTAAGATTCTGTTAATGAGAAATTCTCATATAACATCTATTTCCCAGAATAGTCATGGAATTACAACTATGCACAGTGATTTACAACAAATTCTCTTTTGTTGGAAATATTCATAGAATACAGTTCTATGGTAAATTGAAGAAGATTTTGGAAGAAGTCAAAAGTGTAACCATTCAATAGTAAATGAAAGAGTATTATCAATAGGGAAATTAAACTTAAGTATGGCAGCGGCTAGCCGTGAGTGGTGCCCCGTAGTGGCGCCGACGAACGACTAACCGCTGATTGAAAAGCTTCAAGGAAAGTACGTTTCTGGCAGATCCAAAATCCGTAGAGCAGTTACCAACCAATCGAGTTTAACCGGTTGAAATAGTGTACTCAATCAGGAAAAAACGAAAGGCAATTTTCTTTCAAATTAATTGTACGAAAGAATTTTTTTCAACATGTACAACATTCTTAACGTACGTTCGGTGAAAAACGTTGTTCAACGAATTTTCATTGTAATAGCATCCGTGTAGGAAAAAGCAGATGTCTTGTGGCTGAATCTCAAAAGATAATAATTGCGAAAATTGGATTGTGGATAACTGGTATGCAGAAGTAACATGATTTTTCGTTATACTTATTGTAAGAAGGAACATTAGACAACAAATAAAAAGGTTAACATTTCTTCTGATTTCCCTGTGCTAGAACATAAATATTGAATCTCTTGAAATACACCAAAAAACGTTTAGTTTTAGGATGTTGTATGATCCTCTCTAATTTTTTATTCTCTGTGGGTCTAAAGTCCACCACAACCATTCATTATCAGATCTAAATCTGAATCATGTAAAAGTTTTATTCCAAACACGCGCTGGAAAGTATTACACTCTATGAAGTTAGGTAATACGCATAGGACTTAATTCTATAGGCTCAATCTGTGTCATTAAGCGAACAAAACATATTAGAAGTCATATTTAGCTCAATCTACGAAAACGATTGACGCTCTAAAACTATTGAAGGTGTTTGAATTCTAATGAGGAATAATCTGAGCGCTAATACGTTCTAATTTATTTCGTTTCTATCTTTCACTTGTGAAGAAGAACCGATCTCTAGACGTTGTGGATTACTCAATCGTATATGTGTTTGTCAAGGATAATCAGAATAAATATAATGAATTCAGTCGAGGGTCAAGTGAGTCGTGCCGACGAACGTTACTTGTATTTAGTAGGGTTTCAAAACTTATTTTTCAGTCGACGTAATTGTCGTGCACAAGTATTATATAGCCAACTTAGATAGTTATCTTTCGGCTTACGTGTTCCACGTGGGCAGGAGTATTAGATAACCATTTAAATAATTATCTTCCCGCTTACGTATTTAACGTGGGCAGGAGTATTGGATAATCATTTAAATAATTATCTTCCCGCTTACGTATTTAACGTGGGCAGGAGTATTGGATAATCATTTAAATAA